AGGTTGATATAAAGATCAGAAGTTTGTACTTCGAGCATCTCTTGAAAACCATCTAATGTAACGCATGTAGACCGCCTGACAAGACGTGTGGTTGCTTGTAATAAACCCAGGCACACAACAATCACAAATCCATTAGTCATTATCTGTTCAAGGAATTTATAACAGGCGGGGAGGGAGAGGGTTTAGTTTAAGACGTGATTTGGCATCTCTGTCCTACTGTAGGCCCCCACAATCCCGTTTGGCCTTTGTCTGAGCGCTGTAATTAATGACTTTAGGGAAAGAATTACCTTGTTTGGCAGCGTAGCAGTGACCTCAACCTGAGATTTACTTGCAATGGAGCGAGCTTAGGCTATCAAATTGGATTAATGCCCAAATTGCCAAGGATTTAGTTGGCAGGACTAAGCGGCAAACGTTGAATCAACATTTTTCACATAAGAGCGAATCTGACATGGACATACAGCGAGGCTTACTGGCTTTCTACCCTGCACTGTAAAGTCTGCGCGGTGGGAGTTTAACATTAGCATAATTACTGTGGTGCTTGTGAAATAATAAAAATAAAAACGGTCATTTGAAAGAGTTTGCAAAAGTGGTGCTTGTATACATTCACGGGCAGTTTGAAAGACCCACTGCTTTGTTAAAGAATAATGATCCCCCGTGAGACCCGTGCGGACAGGAAGATTAAGGCATTGTTCAGCAGAGTTGTATAATTTACGCATAACTGGGGCAGCTTGCATTTTTGTTGATTTTACATGTATATATATTTTTTCTATAGGCAGAGTGCGTTTTTACCACATGCCTCCAGTATTCTTGGCTGCTGTAAAAAGGGTCGCTAATGGAGACCACACGGCATCTAAAGACTAAAGGAGCTGTCCGTGGTGCTGAAGCTTTTGAGCGGCATAAAGTGTGAATAGCCCTGCGTCAAATCTCCACAACTGGAGGGACCTTGTTTCCATTTATACTTGTGCCCCGTGTCTGCCTTCCCTCTGCCTTCTCAAGTGAAAGTGAGCAGCTCATGTTGGACCTGAAGGTAGTAAGTATTGAATGACGGTTGCTTTTACTGAAACATAAGAATGAGATAAAGTTCGAGTCTGTTTGAGTCTGTCTTGTGTAATGAGTACGATACATATAAATGTCACATATTACATTTTGTTTATCTTGCTATCCTCGTGCTAATCAATACACTGTTTGCTGGTTGCATCTGTGGAAAGGATGCATGGCGGGGGTATGGTTTAGGCTGCTGCTTAGATTTAATTACATAATATTAAATCATTGGCATTACCAAAGCATGATTGCATGTCTGCTCGCCAAAGAGCTGGCAGTTATAAATCATTGTCATGCCACAAATATCAAATGCATAGCAAAACAATGTCTATCATCTTTGCTTTAAAATGTTTTTTCTAAGTTGGGAAGACTTGAATCAATATCTTTTTACAAGCAAAACAAGAAAAAGAAAATCTTTACAAGGTTTCTCCATGGCTCACTTTTTTTCTCCCATTCTAGTCGCACACACAGAAAAAGACACCTTGAAGTTCAGCTCTTAAAATCATCACACGATGATCAATAAATCATGAAACAGACTTTATATTTAATCTCATCAGACACAGCCAAAAATAAGGTCTTTCCTTTCACAGCAGACCATTAAAGCTCTCTGTTCCTATACTTAATGTTAAGTGTGAACGAACATAAGCAAAAGAAATCTTTGATTCATTGTTAAATTCTATTTTTATTATTACACATTACTTTTACCATTTCTTAGTTATTTTATTTTTCATCATTGGGTAGCTGTGCCTCAGGAGGAAGAGTTGGCTATCTCCCAAATCAGAAGGTCAGTGGTTAAATGTGGTCTAAACCAGCTCCATAGTACTTCCAGTACATTTTTTTTAAAAGGCATTAAATTATTAATTATAGCAGAAGCATAACAAGACAGAGAAAAGGCAATAAGAAAAACAATTCTTCGATGGTACTTAAAAATACTTCACGCTGACCCCAGCTGCTGTTTGCCATTATTTAAATACTTTGTTGACAAAGTATAACTTGAAATTCTGTGGAGCTGTCAGCAGGTTCAAATGCCTCCCGGTCTTTTGGATGGCTGCTTTAGAGGAAAGGGCCATGAAACTACAGCTTCCTCAACACAAGTGTTAGTCCTAGCCAAGGGAGCAACAAAAAGGCCAGAGAACATAAAGATGCAGATAAGACTTATCCAATAACCACAAGTGTTATATATTTGGGAGCTAGCCCCCTGAGTAATTAAAAATTGAGCAGTGTCATAAGGCATATCATAAAATATATTATAAAATAAAAGCCAAGAGTGAGACTTTGGAAAGTATATCATGTATTATCTTCTTTTGGCCAATTGTAATGCTGCAGGTTTGAAGGAGAGACCAGAAAAAGACAGTTAATCAAGAATTAGGAAGTTATAAAGTGACTGTGAGAGAAATGCTCAAATTAGAATTAAAAAATATTTTTGATTGTGATGATGTAATTTTCATAATTCAAATAGGGATGAAAAACTGTAAGATACCTCATGAAATTCATAAGCCTTGTTTCTGTGCATCAAAGTTAGCTTGCTCACTATAAAATGAGCCTTACAATCAATATCATTCTTTCTTTTTGAAATTATTTTATTTGCTCTCAACTTACATTTAATAAACAGGCATACAGCAGATTTTATTTGCAGGCATATTGGGAATATCATTGGATTTCAGAGTTGATGAAAAAACATGAGAGGCAACTCTAATGATCACTGGCAGAAAAAGACTTAAACAACTCATCACTTAGAGCAAATCATCTGATGTTTACAGACAGGTTGCTGATGGCATAATGGCTGTACTGTGGGGATGGCTGAAATCTTTGTCCTGTTCAAAGCAGTGCTCTTCAGCTAATCCTGGCTAAGTGCTTGAGACTATCCTCAGCTTTAAAGAATGGTTGAAGCCAGGCGGACTCTCCAGTGAGTTTGACACCAAAAGGACTGCAGCACCACCCTGAGCCCAAGCTTATCAGATCTCCTCATATCCCGACTTTTCAAAAGGGCAGGATCCTTTGAAGAGTTCTGATGATGGTGGTGATGATTGAGATGATGACGAAGACTACAGAGACAGTGCTTTCTTACTCCCTGTTTTTTTGTTTTAATCTTTGCCTCTCTGTTTTTCCTGCTTCTCTGTTTCCCTGAAGGCAATCAAACTACAAACAAGAGAGTAAACAAAGAAATGGTTTATATCGATTCCTAGGCTTTATAGCTGTGGGTAAATGTGTTTATCTTCTGTAGCCACTACATTATACTTAGATTAAATACATATTTGATGGGGCAACTGGAGCAATGAGCAATGCACTGCTTTGAAGCATCCTCTGGCAAGAGCTTATTACATTTTGTTAATACCTTAATTAGGCAAAGCATGAGAGAAATTAATCCCTGGAGAACTGGCTTCTTAAAACATTGTCCAGCCACCCCTGAAACCCAAAGGAATAATTAGACAGAGCAGAGAAATGCGTTCGTCCCTGAGAGGATTCTGGGATAAAGTTTACCCCCTAGTCTTTGACAGGAACTGGGCTTTTGTTTGCACACAGACTTAACTCTGAGAGGCGTAACAATCAAGAAGCACACATCAGCTTTAATGACAACAACACTGCATTTTCTATCCCCAGAAACTCATTGAAAACATCTCACGGTACTGTACGTGGGTGAGTATCTCGAGTGAAGTCAACACAAAGAAAAGCCATCGTATTTCAGTTTTAATTAACAGAACGTATATTTGTTTGGCAATTAAAACAAACTGATTAAAGCTTGTTTTTCTGCCACTGAGGAAGAGGAAATCAGGAAAAAGGTCAGCAGACATGCAGACGCCCAGACAGACTTCTGCTGTTAAAGCTTTGTGCTCATTGTTGTTTTCCCATCTTATATAATCTGTCCTCTCTGTAGTCTCAATCAGACACAACAAATGTGTGTTTAAACTCTGACCCAGAGTGCAAGATTACCCAGTGAGCTACCTTCATCTTTAAAACAGTTACTTGAATGCATCAGTGACTCCATCTGGCTATAAATCACAGGGCCTGTTACACTCTATATCTCTTTTTGCATTCAGTCAGCTTTACATTTATAACACTAAGAACTACCATTTTACATATATTTAACATTAAATCCCAGTGAGATTAAAATCCCCTTTATAAGATAGCCCTGGCCATACACTAGACCTGATCATACGAAATAAATTGTAGCATGTATATAATGACAATCCACAAAAAACAGCTATTTAGCAGCCTTATAACAAAGCCATCTTTTATGTCATTACACATTATGCCCTTAATTTCAAAAATAAAAATTAATAGTATTGCAATGAAGCACTTAGGAGTTTTTGCTTAAAAAAACAAAAAAACTAACAATAGGATGCAAATCATACTGCTTTGTAACTACTATAATGTTTACCATGCTCAATATGTGAAGTCAGAGTTAGCATTCTAACAATCAGCTCTTAACACAGAGGGAACTGAAGAAAAGTGAAAGCAAATGCAAAAGGATATCTTCATCTGAAGGTGGCACTGGACATTAAGTTAATGATCCATTTAAGTTGTTACATTCATAATGGGAACATCAAATCCGCCAATTCATTTTCTTAACCACTTATTAAATGCAGGCTGCAACTGTTGTTGTAGAAACAGGTTGCACCCTGGTTAGACAGCCAGTATGTTCACATCAAATATTTTTCCAAACAATTCATGAAAAACCACAAAAGTCAACTTTATGGTGCCTTTAGAAACTCAAATGTCCTCTCTTCTATCCTCGGTCTACCTGGGCGGAGCTCATCTTGGGCTCCGCCTTTGGCCCATGTACCTGGCCTGATTACTCACGGGCAGCTGATCTGCCTGATTACCTGGCTGCTATTTAAGATGGTGATTTAGCGCTTCTTGC